ACAAGGAGACGACGAGAAATGAACAACGACAATTGGTAAGTAGAATTTCCGAAAAAGGTTCTCCTTTGTAACAAAAATTATCTGATCCCGAAAAATGAAATTAACATGAATTAAATAACCCTATGGCTACCCTATATTGTTCAATACATTTACCCATTAGGTAAAAGTACAACAAACAAAAACAATTTATAAGACAGGTTGCAATTCAGGTTACACAAAAATAGTAGATCACACACATCATCATCCAAAGTCATACAGGTATTAAAGATATATACACAAAGAAAATAAAAGTACATTGAAAAAAATAATAAACTGTTGGAAAGCATTTTCGAGTCATAGAATGGGAAAACTATTTCACAACAAAATTTAAATTGCGGAATTTTTTTTTATACACAACTGTTCACTACTTTGTTATTATCTATAGCAAATCTTTTTGATGTAGCTTTGATTTTGGATTTTTGGTCAAAGCTTTTAAATATATAAGCAGGGGTGTTCCGTAGCTGCACATGTATGAAATATACATATAACATCTGATAGCATGACTTGAAATTGATTTCTTACAACTATGATAAACTCAATTGTAATATTTGAAAGCAGTAAATTTTATACTTGTAACATGAGTTTATGAATTTATTCAGATGCTCTGATTGTTTTAAACTTTTTGATACAATTAAATTATACCAGATTTATTTGCTAGCAATATTAATAACACATGAATCGTCCGATTTCACTTATCAGTTGTGTAGGTAAAGTCATGGAAAGGGTTATTTATAAACGGGTTTTTCAATTTTATGGTTGAACATGGCCTATTTTACCTTTACCATTCTGGAGTTTTAGCAAAACATTCAACTACACATCAACTCTTGGAAATTTATAATTCGATTTTAAATGCACTTGAAAATAAGGAAGATACATGCTTTGTTTTTACCGATTTCTCAAAAGCATTTGATAAAGTATGGCATAAGGGTCTGCTTCTCAAATTAAAAGCCTATTGAATATCTGGTAATTTATTAAAATGGTTTTCCAGTTAATTAGAAAATCGAGAGCAGAAGGTTGTCAATAAAAACAGTGCGTCTTCTGTGGGTAAAGTGTCTGCGGGGGTTCCCCAGGGTTAAGTTTTAGGGTTTCTTTTATTTTTGATATACATAAATGATATTAGCGAAAATTTAACGTCACTCTGTAGATTATATGCGGATGATACCTCCTTTGGTTATTCTAGTAGAAATCCAGCCTTAATACAAAAACATATTTCAAATGATTTAACTCAACTGAATGACTGGTCTAAAACCTGGTTAATGTCGTTTAATCGAAAAAAGACAGAAATTTTATGTTTCACGAACAGGCAACGACCAGATGACCTTTCATTTCGATTAGACAATCAAGAAATTCCGATGGTATCAAACACTTGGGTATAACTTTTAAGTGAAGATTGTAAATGGAACGATCATGTTTTAAAAACTTCTAAAAACATATCAAAACATCTAAGCGTACTAAGATAATTAAAATCAAAATAAAAGCTCACTCGTTCAAATCTAGAAAAACTTTATTTAACACATTATTTGAGTATGGTTGCGAAGTATAGGATAATTGTGGTGTTGCTAATACTGAACTGTTGGAAAAACTTCAGCGTGAAGCTGCAAGAATTGTTACAGGCCTACCTTATTATTGCAACAGTGAAATTTTATATTCTGAAACGGGTTGGGTTAGAAGACAGAAGAAACCGAAGAAAACTACAGTTATTCTACAATATTTATAATAGACAAGCTCCTAATTATTAACGAACACTAATACCACCTCCTGTATCAACTATTTAGTTTAAACAAATTTTATTTGTTCAAGTACAAATTGGATAAGACACAAGTCAAACAGACTTATGAAGTCGTATCAACTTTACTAATAACTATTTCTAGGCATCTCAATAAATACTAAATACTATATATAGCCGATAGCCCAGCAATACTGGTGGACCCCATATTTTATTAATTTAAATATAATTGATAAACACAATATACATAAAGCATAAGTATCAATAAATTCACTTTCATTAAAGAGTTCAATAGAATAATTAGTAAATTGTGTTCAAAAATATTTTGCTCTGTCATCAACGATCCCGCCGGCCAGGAAAAACCAACAAAAACGAGTCACCTCGGTCAAACTCCATTTAAACTGCAGTCAAAAGACTACATTTTAAATAAAGTGGAAAATGTGGGAAACCTGTGTCCAAACCCAAATGCTCGGAAGACCGTCTCGAGAGTTATACTTGGACTGTATATAAAGTAAATATACTATATATATGTAATAAGTAATAACTTAAGTTACTCTTTAGTAAAATATCTAATTCCTACTTAATACAAATTAGAATAACAATACAATTGAAAATGAACTTTATTTCACTGTTGTCCAGTCTGATGCTTGGCTAGAAGTGACCAACAAGGGAAAATATTCCAGCTAAATATCAATATCACGTGATATGTATATATACGTGTACATACGAAGTACCCGTATCAATAGTATTCACTAGTACCGTTATTACAGTAATTTCCCACTATACTATCGAACCGTTGGAAATTATAAGTATCAACTTTACTAATAACTATTTCTAGGCATCTCAATAAATACTAAATACTATATATAGCCGATAGCCCAGCAATACTAGAACCACAAAGAAAGGGCGGGTAAAGTACAGTTTACAACCCAAGTGTTTGTGAAACTGACATTCTCTTTTCAAATGTATCATCTATGTACCCGTCCTTACTTGTGTCGGACTTCCACCTCCCGTGTCCCTCTGGTATCTTTCGTCCCTCTTTAATGCACCTTTCGTTCACATCAGACTGGGCAGCAGCGGTAGCACCGCCTGCACGGAGAGAATGTAAACCTAGATTAAGATTAGGTGCGACAATTTTTATCCTTTTTTACAATATTTTCTTTAGCTGATGTATAACTCATCTTTTTATTCTTATGTATCAATTTAGCTATACCCCTTGATCTAAATATAGGTCTAAAAACAAATAAATCAGATTTCTCATCTAAATTAGCTAACTGAATATATCTATTGTACATATTGAATGGACAAGCTAAAGTGCTACCTTTTGAAATCAAAATTTTATTACCCTGTCGGTATTGATCAGTTTTACTGCGTAAAATGTGAATCTCTAAATAGTCATCGAAAACTGTGATATCTTTACATTTTAAAGAGCTAAGCTCATCGTAACGCAAAAACCCTGAATAACCTATCAAAATCATGTAATAGTTATCCAGACACACCTATCCCTCGGTGTATAAGAAACCCCGTCGGCCGGAGGCCGGAGGGGTTTCTTATCCAGACACGCCGTATCCCGAAGTGTATAACTAACTTACACCCCATTCTAAACTATATTTGTTAACATTGATTATTAAATGAAAAAAACACGATAGCATATTTATTGACAATATCAAACCATGATTTATAAGAAAAACATTTTTTTTTTTACATGAAACCCCACTAGTAACCTTTCTTTGGGTATCTTCGTTCAAACTTTGACAAGTGAGTATATTTTACAAATGTCAAAGTTGTTTTGCATATTCCCGTTAAATCCATGTGCTAATATGGATCAGCAGGTCAAGGTTGACTGTTTCGTGTATCCTTATTACAAACAAAAAAATACATCATGCTCCTGGTATACAGTTGTCAATATGGACGGGTATAAGACGGACGACATTTTGAGTCAAGCGTTGGATTTGGTAGAAGAGACTACAGATAAAGGCAAGGGTATAACCCAAAGTACTTACCTGTATCAGTTTAATAAAGGTAATCATAACTGTATTTTATATTTTACGATTTTATCAAAAACAAAAGCCCCCCCCCCCCCCCTCTTCTCGAGAATAATCAAACATTCATATTCGAACATACTAAGGGATAGGTGTGTCTGCATTAGAAACCCGACTACCAGACACGCTCAACATACAATATTTAATATAGAGGAACTCCCTTTAAGGGCAATCAGGGGCTGATCCAGCCGGGGGTTCCCAACTCAAGAGAAAAAGGGGGTGGGGGTTCCAACCATTCAAATGCATTGATCTTTAAAATAAAAGTCGGGTCCAACCCGCGGAACCCCCAACCCCGGATCGGCCACTGGGTAACAAGGGGGGGGGGGGGGGTCCGGGAGTTAGAATCCCCATTTATTTTTAAAGATCAATGCTTTAGAATAGAGACATGTGACTGGGATAAAAAAAAATTACCTTCGAGCAAAAGAGTATTTAAAGGATTATTTTTGTATTCCATATAGATGCTTATTGGAATTTCCTAAAATGTGTTTTTTTTTTTAATATCATGAAACAATTTGTAGTGAACACTATTAGTAATTTCTTATGTTCATGCTATTTAAAAAATAATCAATTTCTATTGTTACGAATAACAATGGACTTTGTTTGCGGGATGTAGAAGCAGGGTTTTCCAGAAACCCCGCTCGTCACACCCTGTGGATAAAATCCATTGTTATTCGTAACAATAGATCTATTCAATTTACACTTGTTTCAGAAATGGAAACTATGAAGCATAACAATATAACTGGGGTGTAAGGTCAAATCGCAAACGATCAATAAATCTTCTGAACTTTCGTACAATGAACATAAATCAATAAGAATAGTATTGTTAATTGGATCCTTTTTGACTACTGGTCTACCGTTCAAACGTTTTGCAGATTCAGTCAGTGATTTAACATATGAATTGTTAGTAGGATCATTGAAACCATTAAGCTCATGGGCCCATTTGATAGAATATACAGCGGAATCTATAACACTGGGAGAACATTGTTTGTCAATAAGATATGTCAAATAAAGTGCAACATGAACTGGGTTAGCAGGTAATTCTGACATTTTGTGTTCATTTATAAACGTTTTCCATCGTTTAAAACCATAAAAGTACTTTTTACTGGTATTCTCGGCTTTGGATTCCACAATAAAGGATGACATCTTGTTGGCTAAATTCCTAAGTTTGTTGTCCGGGGATACACCACTGTTGTCTATGGCAGCCTGGACATTTTGTTCCAATCTTAAACCTGCAAATAATATTGATTACATTAAAATTCTAGTTTGATTGCTAACATATGAAATCTCAGAATTCGTTCACCAAATACGCCATTTTTACCACTACCTTTAACGACTGAGTGCTCTTTTGGTAAAAACTTTGTACCTTTAATACATTTGGTGAGATCATTAGATGCGAATAGCAACGGCCAGAATGGAGCTGATTTCCATTCTGGTATAACAAGCGTGCTGTTGGCTCTGTCGTTTTCTACTTTGCGTACGACCATGGATATTAGTGATGGTGGTGGAACTAACCAATTTGTTTCTGTGTTCCAGTTTTGACTAAATGCATCTACTGCTTCCGTACCGGGATACCGATTTTAGAGTTAAATCGTTCACACTGTGTATTATAGTGTGTGGCGAATCTGTCTATTGTATATGGACCCCATAGGCTATTAATTTCATCAAATATATCAGAATGAATAGCCCAATCATCGTGATCAGTGTGTCTACTGAGCGTGTCTGCATGTGTGTTTTTTTCTCTTGGAACCCATTGTGTAATTATGTTTATATTGCTACTTACACAAGTTTGTTTAATGTCAATAGCTATATCTTGTAATTTTTGTTTTCTACTTCCTACTCTCAGTATGTGAGGTACGTTTTGATTGTCTGTATTAATTTTGACGGTTTTGTCACTAACTGTACTATCAAAAGTTTGTACAAACCTATTGACGCATTCTAATTCGCGCCATGTGGAACTCTCGTTCCTTTCTCGTTCTGTCCAGTTACCGGACATTTCCTTGCAAAAAAGTTTTGCATTCAAATCTGTGGTTATATAACCACCAAAGCCTACATCTGAGGCGTCACAAAACATTTCTATATCAACAATATCATGCTTATCGACTTTACAAATGTCGACTCCAGCATTATTGAGCTTTTGCAATGAAATAGACCAAAAATGTATTTCATTAATTGCTTTTTTACAAATCTTGACTGGTGCATCCCAACTTGCTCTACTCATGATACAATCATAAAGGTATCTAGTGTTCAATCTGACTAAGTCACCAATGACTATCTGCATAGATATCAACTGACCTACAATGCTAGCTAAAAATCTAGATCCAAAAAAATCTACCCCTTCGTTTGTTTCTTCTATTAAAGATCTAATCTTTTTCTCAGTTTTCATAATTCTATCTTCATTAACAAATATTTTACCTATATTTGTATCCCACGTATACCCTAGCCATTTCAATTTCTGGCTTGGTAACCAAAAACACTTCTCATGTGCAATCAAAAATCCCAATTGTTCTAGTTTATTTTTAACCATTTGACTGCTCTCAATGCATTTTTCAAAATTACTATCTCCACCCAAACCGTCGTCAAGAAACATTATTATCCTTTTGCCTTCTGATCGCAAATGCTTAACTACTTCTCTAAGTACTTTTGTAAATATGTAACCTGCAGTTGAAATGCCAAAAGGAAGAACATTGAATACGAAATATCTCGTATTTCCATCAAAATTCCAAGCGAAACCTAAAAAAGTTCTGTGTATATCTGAGATTTCCAAATGATGGTAAGCAGATCTAATATCAAAACTAAATAAATAATCTCCTTTTTGAAAGAGATCTCTTGCTATCTTAGTATCCTCGTACTTATACCTAAATTTAAACAGATGTGGATTCAAATGCCTACAATCTAGTACTAGTCTTGGTTTATTTTTATTAAATGCTACTGTAAGTGGATTCACTACAGTTGGTTTAGAATAAATCTCAGAAATGCACCTTTTTTGAAGAAGTTTGTCAATCTCTTCAACAACGAATTTTGCATTGTTTAAAGATGATCTGTTATTTTTTAAATGTATAACCCCTGGTTCCGTTTTTAACGGTAACTTATAACCGTTTTCAATAACATCAATAATATGTGTACTAGTAGTAATAGCTTTCCATTCATGTAATTTTGACCTCAATTTACCTACTGGCGAGACAGGTATATCAACTTCTAGTAAAAAGTGATCACCAGTGACACTTGGTTTCGATTGAGTAATTTCTATCGTATGTTTATCTTCTGATTGGTTTACATTTGTATTGAATGAATTTTCAGCTTGACCAATATAATATTCTTTCATATTATTATACAAATTAGTACATTCAAAATTTTTAAATACACTTATCTTGTCTTTCTTTTCAGGACAATCATTCGCCCAGTGGCCCTTATTGCCGCAATTAAAACATCTCCCTGTTCTCCAGGTAGGGGTGGATCTCTCTCTTTGGTGGAATAAGGCACTTTTCTGATTGTCTTCGACTTTTCAGCTTGTCTGACTTGCTCCTACGTTCAGCTCTATTTTGCGCTCTTATCATCTTCTTTTCATCTTCGGAGTCATCGGCAATTGGATTAGTTGTGTACTCCTTCACGACTTTCCACCCCAATTCGGATGAATCGGCAAGTTTAATGAGTTTCTGTCTGTCTCTTACAATTGCCATACCTTCAACAATCTTGTCTCTTGCTTGATGAATGGATTCTACGGATAAATCTGGTCCGTCTAACTTTGATTTTGCCTCCGTCAACTTCGTCAGGACTTTAACCTCATGTTTGTACTGGTTTTCGTTCCCCTTCCGTTGAAAAGTATAGTTCTCCGACAAAGTCTCTTCAATCTTGGACATCTGGGATTGACTGATATCTCGCTGAGACTGTTGAATATTTCCCTGGAATGTGGATAGTCTGTTATCTATCAAGGCGATGATTTGGTTAAGGGTATCTTGTTGTGAAGCAGATACTGCATTTTGTACTTCTTGGACAATTACTTGCTTAACGGAATTATCTAAACCGGGGTCCGTCATATTTCACTGTTGTCCAGTCTGATGCTTGGCTAGAAGTGACCAACAAGGGAAAATATTCCCGCTAAATATCAATATCACGTGATATGTATATATACGTGTACATACGAAGTACCCGTATCAATAGTATTCACTAGTACCGTTATTACAGTAATTTCCCACTATACTATCGAACCGTTGGAAATTATAATTCTCCATTTAACATTTATAGCAATATGATACAAAATATATGTATGAGCATGCATGTATAGAATGGTATATCTATTTAATATATATATATATATATGGATTTATGTCAAAAGACAGAAAAGTGAAGACAGAACGAAAACAATAATACAGAAAAATATATATATAAAAATAAATAAATGAATATTTAGAAAACAAAAACAAAAAATAAAATACAAATTAAACAAACAAAAATACAAAAAAAGGAAGACTTTTACTTAGATGATGATGTGTGTGCGATCATGGTTTGCTATCTAGACAATTAGAAATCTTTCCGAACTTTTAATAAACGCAAAGACATTTTTGAAAATGGTTTGGTTTTGCTCTAGGGAAAGAAGATAACTACCCGAGGTTAGTAGTTCTATGTTAATTTTACAATCTTTTGGAAGCCAGCGCAGACTTTCAAACATTTTATTTCGTATGTCTGAATATAATATACATTTAAAAAAGAAATGATAGGAATCTTCACGATTAACACCACAGCGGCAAGACGGGTCAGAAATAATATTGACCCTATATAGATCATAGTTTAAGGATGATGCAAAACATCGAAGTTGGGTTAGAATAATATTCAGTTTTCGAATTCCAAACTCATATTGCTTCGGTACAAATATGTTACTCTGAGGGTAAAGTTTTTTTAGTTCAGTTTTAAATTTATTTATTGATTCCGCATCACGAGTTGAATCATCAAGATTATTCCAAAGACGTATGGTTGATGGAATAAATGAATCATTAGTCAATGCTAGTCTGCAGAATGGAATAATGATGTCATTTCCATTGCGTAGAGGATAGACCGTCATACTTTGGATTTTTGGGGGAATTAAATTTGTCAAATATTCTGGAACATTATTTTTTTTGAATATTATAAAACTTTTGAATTTTTCTTCTCTCTTTTCTTTCAGCTAATGTTTCCCATCCAAGTTCTTCATTAATAACCATTGAGCTTGTGAATATAGGTAACCCCGTAACTATTCCAGCAGCTTGGAGCTGTAATTGCTCCAGTTTATTGATATAACCTACCCAAATATTATCCCAAACTTCACTGGCATACTCAAATAAAGGTCTTATAAAAACTAAATAGAGTTTTTCAAAATTTTTTCTGCTCAGTTTATATTTCAACTTCCTTAGCATATTTATATGTTTAGATGTGCTTAAGATAATATTATCAACGTGGACATTCCATTTAGCATCATTGCTAAATGTAACCCCTAAATATTTATGAATATTTGTAATAGGTATATTTTTATCATTGAATATAAAGTTCATTTCTGGGATTTCAACATTAGAAAATAACATAATTTCTGTTTTATCTGGATTAAAAGACATTAACCATTTTTTGGACCATTCGTTCAGCTTTTCCAGATCATGGTTCATCACAGTTTCTATCTGCAATGCATCACGATCCGCACAGCTGAACGACGTGTCATCTGCAAAGAGTCTGCACAGAGAAATAAGTCTTTCTGCAATATCATTAATATATATTATAAAAAGTAATGGTCCAAGGACCGACCCTTGAGGAACTCCAGCTGAAATACTGCAAAGTTTTGAAGAAGATTGCTTGATAACCACTCTTTGTTTTCTCTTTGTTTTCTATCACTTAGGTAGCTTCTAAACCATTTTAACAGATTTCCATTTATACCATAAGCCTTCATTTTATGTAATAAACCATCATGCCAAACTTTATCAAAGGCTTTGGAGAAATCGCAAAAAACAAAACAACTTATCTCTTTCTTTTCAAGTGAGTTCAATATGCAATTATATATTTCTAACAGTTGGTGAACCGTTGAACATTTAGGAAGAAAACCCGATTGATACTCATAAATTCATATATAACACGTTCCATGACTTTGCCTATGCAACTAATTAGTGATACAGGTCTATAATTGGAAGGTAATGAACTATCCCCCTTTTTAAATAAGGCTATAACATTTGCAATTTTCCAGCTGGATGGATACTTGCACTGCTGCAAGGATTTATTAAATATTATACATAATGGAATTGCAATTTTTTCGAGACAAATTTTAAGCATCTTATGACTAATGACATCCGGGCCTGACGCTTTTTTAGGATTTATAGTTTTTATAATGTCAACAATTTCACTAGTACTAATCACTATATCATTCAATAAATTGTTAGTTTTTTTGTCAAAATCGGGTAATTGAGCATCAACTTCTGCTAGCGATGAAATAAAACAAAAATACTTAAGAAATAAGTAAATAATAAGAATGTCGCATTTCTCGGCGTCTCCATCGGCGACCTCCTCGAAACGTTCATCAATTAGAATATTTTTTAATGGGGGTATGTTATAAGAACCTCTATTTGGCTTAATCAGCATCTTCATAATTTTCCAATAAGTCGTAGAATCGGAAGCGTTATCTAGTATAATATTTTCTAAGTTGTTCTCAAAATGTTCTTTCGCTTCTTTCTTCATATTATTCACTTTATTCCTTTGTTTCTTATATTTATTAATATCCGTTTCTTTTTTAGATTTAATTGATTTTTTTCGTAATCCATCACTTATTCGAATTGCTTTTCTGATATTACTGTTAAACCAGTGTTTGTCATTGCCACGTATAGTTACTGTTTTGGTTGGAATGCTCTCTCTTGCAATGTTGAGGATTTTTTCAGTGAATATAGTGACCATTTCGTCTACTTCCTCAACATTGGAAAAGAGCTCATTCCATTCAACTGCATTCAACATATTTGAAAACTTATCAACATCTGTTTTTTCATACAACCATATTTCCCGTTTAAACGACTTTGTTACGGACTTTGGACATTGTAAAAAAATAACAGAGGCATCGTGATCACTGATATCAGCAGGTACATTCAGTACATCAGAAAAAGAAAATTGTATAGCATCACTTAATATGATCGGATCAAGCAAAGTACTACTGTGATCAGTTACCCTTGTAGGTTTATTAATTACGTTTTTTAAATTAAATTGATGAATCGTATCATATAACTTATTATTATTATAAGAAAATAAATCTCCAGAGAACACAATGTTTTCTGTAAACTGATATCCAAGTTCAACAGCATGATTTAGTCGTGTCCAATATTCAACACCTGACCATTCCGGTCGATAAGTACAACATAATAAAAAAGTTTGACCTTTACCTCTGATCTCCACCCAGATAGTTTCGTCAATATGGTTTTCGAGTACACCTTTTCTGGTGACAGATATATCATCTTTTGTATAAATGAGTAAGCCTCCTCCGGCATTATTACGATCTTTACGGAATATATTTTGTGAAAATGAATCTATCATTAATTCTTCGTTATTTATATTTGGATCTAAGTGTGTTTCAGTGACTGTTACAATATCAAACTTTCTGCAAAATTTTGAATGAACTCAATCTTATTTCGTAAACTACGAATGTTAATATTGCATATTGATATGGAGTTATCAGTTTCACGAGAAAAAAACGTTTTCATGTTCATTTGGACCGGGATTTTGTTCAACGCTTCCAATTATAAGGATGAAGTGTAACACAAATAGAAGGAATAAAACTTTTATATTTGGATCAAGGCTCAGAAGAAGCGACAAGGAGACGACGAGAAATGAACAACGACAATTGGTAAGTAGAATTTCCGAAAAAGGTTCTCCTTTGTAACAAAAATTATCTGATCCGGAAAAATGAAATTTACATGAATTGAATAACCCTATGGCTACACTGTATTGTTCAATACAATTACCCATTAGGTAAAAGTACAACAAACAAAAACAATTTATAAGACAGGTTGCCATTCAGGTTACACAAAAATAGTAGATCACACACATCATCATCCAAAGTCATACAGGTATTAAAGATATATACACAAAGAAAATAAAAGTACATTGTAAAAAATAATAAACTGTTGGAAAGCATTTTCGAGTCATAGAATGGGAAAATTATTTCACAACAAAATTTAAATTGCGGGATTTTTTTTTATACACAACTGTTCACTACTTTGTTATTATCTATAGCAAATCTTTTTGATGTAGCTTTGATTTTGGATTTTTGGTCAAAGCTTTTAAATATATAAGCAGGGGTGTTCCGTAGCTGCATATGTATGAAATATACATATAACATCTGATAGCATGACTTGAAATTGATTTCTTACAACTATGATAAACTCAATTGTAATATTTGAAAGCAGTAAATTTTATACTTGTAACATGAGTTTATGAATTTATTCAGATGT